TGGGGGGGGGGGGGGCGGTGTTAGGGCTTAATTTTGGGCCCTAACCATTATTTCCACCCAGGCCAAATATGCAGTTAATTCTGAAAACATGCCCTATCTTACTATAACAAGAGAAGAAAGTGTCAAAATGGTGGACATCACAATCGAACTCTTTTGTGCTCTTAAATCCCAGGCATCACTCTCCTCGTCCTCATAATCCGTCTCGTATTCGTAGTCCAAGTCGTCCTCGGTATCTGAAAAGCCACTCCCGCCGTACCGGTCGTTAAAGCAGAAGTTTTTCATGCTGCCTTTGACATACTCGCATATGGTCCTCTCTGTGCCGTCGCACACGCAAGTGTCCAGCTGCTGGGCTTTAGGGATGGAGCGCATGTTCGTGATGACCCGCCGGCAGTCGTCAGAGCAGCGCTCTCCGCCGAAGAGTTTCCTGCAGTGATACAGATAGTCCCGCATGGCGGTGCTGCACTCGGGATCCTTCTCACACTGCTTACGCGCTTCGGTGCAGCCCATGTGGCTCGTTCTGGGCATACAGGGCTCAATGGCTCTCTTGGTCATTTTGCATAGAGTGTCCGAGGCGCACTCGCAGTCCTCCAGTGCCGGGCCGTTCACAGTCAGATTGAGCTGAATGATGGAAGAAATGCAATGGCTGGGACATTTCTTCCTGTTGCCGTTTATCACCGGACCGCACGCGTGTAGATACTGTGTGTACGCGTAGTGACACTCCGGTTCTCCTTGGCACTTCATGATGGCTTGCCAGCATATCAAACGCTGGTTGTGTGCCGGTGATGCGGTGGATAAACGACTATAACATACCAATACACAGCCGATGGACAAAATCAATATTTGCAGCCGTAGAATGACTGGAGAGTTGCCAGAATTTGCCATTCCTTTATGACGCAGAAGCTTAAAAGTTAATTATTAGGTCAAGGGATTCCGTTTGTTGGTTTATAACCCATAATGTTTCTCCACCAGAGACTGAGATAAACAACTCCTCTTGTTCCATGCCCACCGTCTAGCCGCGTTCTTCTATTGACCACTTCAGATAGGTAAGTATGCTCATATTTGTTCCTTCGATATCCGCAGAAACGTGTATCGAAACTCCTCCATGGACAAAACACCAAATGGTTGGAAACGAATCACATTTGCTCACTGCCGCGAAAGCAAAACGTGCAGCAACACTTTGAAGCTCGTCGAGTCTTTATTCTCGCTGCTCTTTGTGCAGTAGCTAATCCAGCAAGGAATCAACGGTTTATACATTACATCGAAACATCCCAAAAGCGATCTCACACTGCATCTTGTTCAAATAACAAAGCTGGAAAAAGTTCAACTCACTCTGACTCCTCTCTCTGGGATGTCTTGTTGGATCTGTTCAGTTACCCGGACCCCAGAAGTATGCACGCAGCACACTATTGGTCTGATCAGTTGTTGTGATTTCTGACGTCACTTGGAGGGTGGAGGTCAGAACTTGATGAAGGTCGAGAATTTGGAGAGGGTGCGGGCTTTGACTTGATAAAGCGTCAGACCCCGCTACGGTGACACAGTGCTAGAATATTTTGGCTATTTTTAATTCTAAGTAATTATGTGTAATTATTTGAACTTATTTAGCCTTCAGCCTGTCTTAATAAGTATTCATGTATCTGCACTCCAGGGGGGGGGGGGGGTTTAGGGGGCACAATTTAAAAATTCATCTTAACCCACTCTAAGTATTATTCGTCCAGTCATTTTCCACCATGTCATGTATCACTGCAATCTCTAGAAGTAATCTATAACAATTTCAACTAAAATGAATGTTTCATCATGTTTCATTTATTTGACAAATCATTTTGTATTGTAGTGTCAGGGGTATCATGCACTCATTATTTTTGAGGGGGCACAAGTGAAGGGGGGGGGGGCTCTCATGATTGTCATGTGACACACAGCACCCACAATACCAATGTATAACTGATATAGGCGTATGACCCTACTGAAAAAAAGAATAAAACCATCACAGACAATTTTAATGGTTTCCACAAATAAACCATTAAAATTAATTAACCAATTAATGGTGCCTGCTGCACTCCAAAGAAATATCATGGAGGAACAACTTTTATAGGGAAATATTTGAGTTCAAGGTATTACAAAAGACCATCTGTTAATTTATAATTTTATTTTGTTAGATTTAAAAATGGAATGATATTGATACTTTGAAATCTCAGAGAAATAACTTAATCCATTGCTTTCATTCACATTTCATTGACGTTTTTAAGGGAAATTATCAGGTCAAGTTTGTTTTAAATAGCCATAAGAAAATAAATAAAACATAATTCACTTAAGATCAATTGAAAGATTTCTAAATGAAATAACATGGCAGAGAGTTTGTGTGTGTGTGTGTTCTTATTTTTTAATATGGTTTCATTTTGCATTGGTTTATGTCTCTCCATGTTTGTACAATCCATAATGAATTTAACAGGCATTTTGCAGACAGTTGCTTTATTTTGCTTTATTTGGAGAATTGGATTTGTCTGTTTAAACAAAAAGATTTCAAAGATGTTTTTGCAATCATCACTTCTCCATTTTGATGCATGATCCGATGATTTCAGTGTTAATATTCCAGCTTCATATGTTGTCAGTGGGTCTCATTCAATAAGTCCAAAATCTACACAACAATTATTAAAGATTTGTCCAAAAGTCAAGGCATGTGGACACATGCTTCTCTATTAGAAACACTTGTAGGAAGTTCACTTAGGTGATTTCTGTGATGACATGCATTGGCCATTGCATTTGGTCAGCAGATGATTGCATATCCTTTGATCCTCTCTGGTTGGGTTGATTGCCTAAATGGAGCAAAATAACAGCTGTTCCAAGACACATCTTTTCTTTTTCCTTCTGTTCTCACCCCAAAACTTTCCTGTCCCCTCATTATGTACTCCACAGTATTATACAAAAAGAGCAAAAACTATCCAGATAGTTGCAGGTCTGCATTTTGAGAGATTTAATCAGTTAAACTATATAATTATATAAAATTATAAATAGATGTTACACATTTGATGCATATCTACACAATTATGGAATAATCCTGTGCTTTCCATTTCTCAGTATCTGATTATGATCATCACCTGGCCCAGATCTGCAGAAAGAGAAGGGGCAGTTTTTGAAGAACAGAGTGGACTGTGTTATCCATGCTACACTGACCCTATCACACTGCAGCACTCAAACCACAAAGCTCGGGCAGCTGGCCAAAAATGCCCTCTACCCCACTCCCACCTTTCAACATTTTCTCCTTTTTCCAATTAGAGAGATTAGATGGCCCATTTGGGAGGAAGGGAGCAAACAGTCTCATGCAAATTCTCTAACATTCCACAGAAAAACTGTAATACAGCTCATCCATTTCTCACATAGCTTTCTCACAAGCGTGTTCTTGTTGAAGTAAAGAAATTAAATTTTGGACTGATTGGAAATGAGAAAAGTGCTGCAGTTTTGCTATCTGGTGTGATTTCATCTAGTAGAACGTGAAAGTTTAAAATAATAGATCAATAAAATCACAAACTATTACACAACAAGTAATGAAACTGCTTGCCTGACACTGAGAAAACAGAATATGAGCCCTGCATATTTTCGTTCACACACAGAGGACTCCAAGCAACTCCAGAACTCAAGGCTTCACTCCTCACAAAGGATGAAATTGTTCAATCTGCTGAGACTATTACTGCAAGATGTTGGCATTTCCTTTTCTTATAGAGAGAACTGCTGTGAAATGTATTCAGAATCTCTCTGAGGAGTCGGTTGTCCCCTCTTGCCAAGCTGTCAGACCTGTTTATCATTATTTGCTGAAAAGTAGCCCAGACTTTGCGATCAAGGGAAAAACTAAAAGAGAACTTTCAGTGGAAAGACCTGGATCTAAGATGTGTCTAATTATTTGCATAATTTCTCTTTTCGTGCACGCATGCTGCTGAAATCTAGCCTGAATCATGTCAGTGTTGGACGCAGGCCAGAAATTAAGTGGGCTAAATTTTCTCTTGTTCAGATTAAGTCTGAGGCATGAACAGACAACTCTGTCCTTCATAACTTTAACCAGTTGCATACTTAAAACTATTATAGGTATACACTACAAAAGTGCCATTCCTTTAATGAATATCATATTACTTTATACAGTTTTCCTTATGGTCAAAAGAGCTATTGAAAAGTACCAAAGTAAAGAAATCACAATACATGAAGACATTTACTTTATATAACACAGAATTTCCTTTTTCTATCGAAAAAGTACTGTTGCCCACAGTGGCAATAAGTCATAACAACTCTAGATTAGGAATGCTGAGTTTTTTTTTGTTTTTTTTTTGGAAAGAGGGCACATGGCTTTCTCAGCGCCCAAGAAGTCTCAGTCTTCACGTCTCCACCACTGTCACAAATGATTACACACGCTGAAGCCTCATTGCCAAAAACATATTCATCAGGACCTCCCTCGTCAAGAAGCTCTCAAAGGCACAGCGATTGCACACTATGATATTAGTTTGTTGCCAAAACGGCCTGGCTCCACCAAGCTGATTTAATGGAAACAGCTGTTAACTGTCTTTCCGCTACTTTCACTGGTCTGTGTTTGCTTAACTGTCTGCTTTTTTCATATCTTAAGCAAATGTTTCTGAATGAGCTGTTGCAGCCATTTCCCGGGTCTTTTATTAGGAAGACCCTCTCTAAAGCTCTTTATACAAATACCATCTGTTGAACTGAGCAAATACTTTAGATGGAATTTCCCTCTTTGAAACTCCATGATTGTAATGTGTGGCTAAGGTCTAGTATGTCACACATTCATCTTGTCTATCATAATACAACTTTTTGTGTGTGTAAAAAGCCATATTGTATAGTCAACCATCTCAGCTAAAAGCTTTAAATGGATTGTTGGCCCTTTGCTGTCCTCACTTAGACAACCTCTAAAGTGCACTTGACCCTAAAGTAATGGTCTGGTAATATTTAAACAGTAAAGCATCTGTAAAATGAATAGAACAGAACCGAGGGCTGATGTCAAAGTGGTAAAGCTGTTTTCTTGAACAGAATTTATAATAATTTACCAAACTTTTAATCACGTCTTTGAAACAATCGTCATTTAATGTTTAGTTGTTTGCTAGCCAGAAAACAGTTTATAAATACTAATAAATCTAAATGGAAGGCCCCAAACATGCTGAATATTTTTCACTTGCTCATCCTTTGTTGAAATAGGATGCTGAATAAAATTGACCCCAGATTCTCATTTGTTACATCAAACTAAGTACAGCACTACTTAGATGTCATTGTTTTGAATAGTCTAAACACACACTTATGCAATTTCTGTGACTTTTGAGAGCTTTGAAAATGAACCACATGCTTCTTTCCCACTGATAAAATTGTAAAAATTAGTATATCTTTAAACTGATATACATCAGCACTGCTGTTGGATGTACTTCAAGTCCACATATATTTATAGTTATAACATATAGTTTGGGCATGAAGTCCAAATGGAAATTGTGCTTTTTTTCTCTATTATGTATCTGAGAGAAGTTGCTTATCGAATGACAGAATGCAGAGCGGGACTTGATTTTGTCCAATCAGGACTTAAATGGATCGTAGAAAGTAATTTTTCAGATTGCCCACCTTTGTGCATGTATACACGACATCAGAGAAGAATCGTAGTTTTAAGAGGACTGGCATGCTAATGTTTTTGATTCAATCTTGCAGGGCCTTATTTTGAAAAAACATTTTGTGCACTGATAAATCATTCATAATAAACACTGCAACATTCCATAAAAAAGAATCATCCATTTTGATGCTATCAAAACCTTATTCATTGCAGTTGTGTAGTTGCAGTATTGCTGTATCAATATGCATCTGTCATATTTTTTTTTTTTTAAAAGCTGTTGCTAAGTAATGTTAACATAGAGAACATTTCTGCAAAGTGTTACCAATTT